ACCAAACACAAGTATTTCTTTATTCTAGTCCCTGAAGACTGTTTACAAATGCCATTTTACAAATAACCAACATTACATAGAAGGAAGAATCAAGCACACGAGAAGACATGACAGCCAACCATGAGAACCAATAGAAAATGATATAAGACAAAAGAAGGAAATGGAAACCGATTGGAATACCAGAAGCATCGGGCGTGGGTTATGAAACAGAATTGACCATGTAAGAAAACGAGTAGCCAGCTTGAAAATACCCACAGGGAACAGAAAGTCACAAAAAAGGACCTAACAGGCTCAAAAATAATAAGATATAATTTCTGAAACTGAAAAATAACCTACTCTATGTATTCAGCAGCAGATTGGAAGTCGTTGAAAATGAATGAGTTAGATAAAGAAAATGAATCCAGAATGCAATGTGGAGAGACAAAGCGATGGAAAACGGAGCCAGAGTAAGAGGATGAAGGATAAAGCGCGAAGGTCTAACCTTTTCAACAAGCCCCACTAGAAGAGGCGGGATGGAGAAAAGGGAGACCCCGACGCTGTAGAGATGCGATGCTGGCCACCATGGGTGGTAGAGACGGGCTGGCCGATGTCTCCTGAGGAGTCAGGTTAGGAAAACGAGGAGCCCGGCTCTATTTTCCGGTCAGCAGAGAGCACCCGTAAATATGAAACACTGGGCAAAGGCCCAGTGACTCAGGACTGTGGTCCTTCTCCAAAATGGCAACAGCAGCCCCCAAAGGCGTGTTCTGCCCTGCCCCAGGCAAGAAGAGGCCCGTGCGCCTGGAAAGGAGGCACTGATGCAGGGAGTAGAGCACAGAGCCTTGCTGACGCTGGGCCCTGAAAGAAGCCATTGTTTAAGTTCTGTTGGGGCAATGGAAGCAGGGGAAGAAGGCCAGCCAAGCACTGTTCATCATGCAGAGTCAACAGCTGTAAACCAGAGATGACTAGACAATATGCGTGATTTCATAAACCCTGCAGCTTCTAGTTCGTGCTGTACAGATATAGGTATATGTGTATATGTATGTATGTATGTGGGTAAGTGTGTGTGTGTATTTATATATACACACATACATGCAGCTAGAGCACACATGCACTTGCTGGAGAGAGATGGCCAGGAAAGAGAGGAAACGTGAGAAAGCACCCCCTTCCGCCATGCGGGACAGTCATGCCACAATCCCCTCTCTTCCATTTCGGCCAGGAAAGAGAGGAAAAGTGAGAAAGCGCCCCCTTCCGCCATGCGGGACACTCATTGCCACAATCCCCTCTCTTCCATTTCTCCTTTCGAGATTGTGCTCATGCACCCGCACATGCCTGTGTGTTTCTCAAGCCACTGGGGCCTGGATTTGAACCACGCAGTCAGCCATGTGGTTTCCAGCCACCTTAACCACACCACCACCAGCTGGCCCTGTGCAACTACTTTTGTATAACCTCTTTTTATGCCTTCAAAATAAAGGGCTCAACTTAGTGGCATAAACCAACCACCATATTCTGCCGGTCAGGTATCCGCACAGGCCAAGGCGGGGCTGGCTTACTTGCTCCGCACAGCCTGGAGCCTCAGTGGTTAGACCTGAAGACTGAGGATAGAGTGGCTATCTCTGGACCCCAAGGCTGTCACAGG